TCTCCCAGTCATGTCTGTATGTGCTTTTCTACCATTATCAAATTTCTCTTAATTGGGCCAAGGTTTTGTTGGTTTTGTTGGTTTTTTTTTTTTCTGGCTGATACTTTAGAGTTTTATGTTATGAGCTGAAATGAAGAAATGATTCCTTTCAGATGACTGAAGTGACATGTACTAAATTTTCCTAATGACAATCTAGGATGTATGAAACAGAGCAAGATAAAACAAATGCAGTTTTATTCATATACAATATTGAACATATCCACAATTAAAAACCAACAGTATGCCAATATTTCTTACTCCTTAATTGATCTCTTAGTCGAAGCAATTAAAATATAAAGTACATCATTAACTTTTGAGAACTTTGATTGGAAAAAGGAAAAACACCCTTCTCATAGTATCCTTAGCCATCCTATGCTTATTACCATTGCCTGTTCTTAAGTGTGACTTTTGGACACCCAACTCAGTCTTTCCTGATATTCAATAGTACAATGGCTTTTCATAGTCTATGTCATTATATTTAGTAATTTGAAGAATGAATAGTCAAGATTCCTCAGATTTTTACATTCTCGCTCAAGGTGTACTTGAACAAAAAGAAAAGCATAGCATCTGGCCCTACAGCTAATTCTGTGGGACCACAGCCTGTCTAGAACGAATTCATTCAGAGTTTTTGAAGAAATGCAAATACATAAATGATTTTCCTAAAGTATCACATTTTTACTACAGGTACCTCTAATTATTTTGGCTGTAAGCCATCAAAGCCAGATGTTAATCAAATGAAATATTTATAATGCAAAATTATTGAATAAAAAAATAGATGTCCGTTTAAGCAACAGCTTATAGGACTCAAACCAATGGTGTATTTTGGAAAAGCTGATGAAGGAGGTATGACTCCATTCCATTCATAATGTCAGGGTAAGGCTCTGAACTCAATCCAGAGAAATTTTATAATTGTTGCAATCAACTACAGGCTCAGCTTCTGGATTTCTTGTAATGAAATCTTGCTGCCAAGGACATTGATGGGCTCACCCAGTAAAAAATTACAATAATAATGTTAAACTAAATCATAAAAATGCAGGAGGTGGTTATTATAGGGTAGAGGAGAGGAATTGCTTATAAAGTTATGATGGAAATATCAAAAATACATTTTATTGAACTTTTAAAAAATTAAGCTTTGTTTTTAAACTAGGGTGCAAAAGCAATAAAATGTAAAGGTTACTCAAAAAACAATTCCATTCAATAGTCAACAACAATGATTCAACAAATGAAAATAAAAATTACATTTATTCAGCATGGTCATCAACTCAGGCAGGCTGAAGCTTGTATATGATAGTTTTCTAATAAAAGTAACCAGCTGAAAGTCACTTTAAAGAAGGAATTTGACAGAAAAAAGAATAAAGAACTTTTTGAGTGGGTTTCTTCTCAGTGAAAACGAACTTGGTTTGTGCCTAATTTCACATAGTATAAGGCTCTAGACATTTTGTGTGGATTTTAAAGTTCCATGAAGAAATTCATTTCAAATGAATGTAGGAAATAACAAAAAAAAAATGTAAATATGAAAACCATGATAGACTTACGGTTAGAAACATGGAAATAGGTCATGATAACTAATCCTCTGTGTGTCCTCCAAAAGTAAAGAATGTCACTTTTTAAAATTACTTTTAAATAATCTGGAACTACCCTCCTGATCATCTTTTTACTTTCTGAAAATACAGGTTACTGAATCATATGTCATAGACATTTTGGTAGACAGTTTCCATATTTTCTTCAAGTTAAATAACATATATCTCTAAGAGACAATTATCATGGAAATAAACTCCTTTCACTCATTAAAATATCTAATGTGCCTTATGCACAGTAAGCACTTAAATAGCATGGCTTGAACGGAATTATTCCCACTTTGTGTTCAGAGATCAATGTGTCTCTTGGATTAACACTAGAGAGGTGTCTCACACATCGGAATTAATGAACTACATCAGTAACCAAACTATCCATGGAAAATCTGCTGAATTGATCCATATCTGTTTTATTAATCAAGCCCACTGCAGAAGGGCTTTCTTGTGGTTCTACTATATTTTGGAGGTAAATAGAGTGGGGAAACCACAGTTCAATTTAGAAGTTGTTTGAAACATTGAAGAACATGGGGTTTTATATGATATGACAGCCAATAAAGTCCAATTCTTGATGGTTGTAATTCTGATCTATAAGTATATAAATATCCTATATGCATAATTTTAACTTCAGAACATTATGACAGTGGTCAAGAAGACCCTAACTATTATATGAAATTTACTTCTTAGTGACACTCTCTTCCTTATTTTTTTTTTTGAAGTAGAAAGGTTTGGAGGGTTTTTTTTGTTTTGTTTTGTTGTTTTGTTTTGTTTTTTTAAAGCTAGCTTGGTACGAACAGCTTTAGTCGAAGCAGCTGGCTGGAAGTCAGAAGCTCCAGATTCTATCCTTGATTCTCCTACCAACCAGGAATGTGACCTTGGGCAAGTCATGAGAGTAAATCTACAATAACAGGGGTAATAATGCCTTACATATGTATGGTGCTTTATGATCTAACAGAGCACTTACACATACAATATCTTATTTAATCTTCCCCCCCAGCCTCCTAAGAGGAGTATGACAGCTACTAACAACCTCCATTACAGGGAGTAGAAATTTGAGACCCAGAAACACTAAATCACTGTTCACAGCCACTTCAATATCAAATGTCAGAGCCAAGAACAGGCACACAGTAGTCCAAGCTGGTCTTTGTCTCCTTGCCTCTACGCCATGCCCCCGCCCTCTGGTGCTTCCTAAGCTGAAATGACTAGAGCAGCACTGCCCAATATGGTAGCCAGGAGTCACATGGCTTGAGCACTTGAAATGTGGCTAGTCCCAGTTGAGATGTATTGTGAGTGTAAGATACACATAGGATTTCTAAGACTTTCAATGAAAACACAAAGAACATAAAATATCTCAATACCTCTTATATCGATTGCACATGAGGATGATAATATTTTGGACATCTTGAGTTAAATAAAACATATTAAAACTAATCTCACCTGTTTCTTTTAACTTTTCTAATGTGGCTCCTAGAAAATGTGAAGTCATATATGTTTCTCTTAGTTTCTATTGTCTGATAGCTCCCATTGTTTCTATTGGATAGAGCTGGACTAGAGGATTCCATTGTTCAGACTTTTCACAGTACTAGGCTTGTTTATGCATCTGTCTTGATGTGGCTGAGACAAATTTCCAAAGATTCTGTTACACATAGAGCAATGCGGATTCAGAGTTGCAATTTGGTCATTCTCATGTATCTTCCGCATGCAAGGGAAACGTCAGATGTCATTAGTTGATGCCTCAAATCGCTCATTCATTAAAAGGGGTCATGTTATACTTGCTGAATGCTTGAAAGGCTTAGAGTACAAGGACCATGGAAAGAACTATAAAATATATTTATGACTCTGTAGCATACTTTATTTTAAAATATGTTCCCATTAAACATTATGAGTGAATGAGACATTGGAGTATTAGGTGATACAGGCAATGTAAAATAGCAATTATATATAAATTTATTATAAAATATGGCATATTTTATTCCCCCTACCAACTTTATATATAACCCCTAAAGAAGGAGCTTATTCCTGTTTTGAAAAATCTAACTGAAAGTCCTCAGGGAAAAAATGGGTTCTTATTTAGGAGACAAATATATATATAGTAAAAAAAAAAAAAAATAGCCCAAATCACTGAAAGCTAACATCTACTTGGCATTTATTATGTGAACTCAGCACTATGCTGAGAGTTAGACCAAGATTATCTCATTTGGGGATTTGAAAATTAGCAGCAGAGAGCAGAAGCTAAGCTCTTAACCATTGCTGCCTCTGACTGCAATGCTATTAGAAATCACAAGGCAACCTATCACAAAAATATTAAAATATTTGGAATTTATTCTATTTTATCATTTCAGTTCCACAAGTGTTTATCCAGCAAACACAATGGATCAGGAATAGCTCTAGACATTGAAGGAATATTAGGTAATAAGACCAGAGCTCTGCCCTCAAAGAGTAGAGAGTTGGTAGGCTTGTGAACATGTTTTTGAAAAATACATACTATCAAAGATTATATGAAGGAGGAGTTACGCTTCACTTTCTAAAGGTTGCAACAAAAATTTTTGTTATTTTCTTTATGTTACAATATTTTTCTATATGTTATGACAGAAATCTTTATAACGCTGCTCCCAGTGTGTTGAAACTTGCCTGTTGTTTATAAAGCAAAGGTCTTATGTTAAAAAAAAAAAAAAGCACAAAACCCCCAAAACAGTGTGGTATGAATTTCAGAGGTGTGCTTTCCACTATATATTGTACCCATGTGGAGGAAAGTGGGCTGAAATGATCTTGAATATTTTTTGGAAAAAGGAGAATGCAGGGGCGCCTGGGTGGCTCAGTCCGTTAAGCGTCTGCCTTCGGCTCAGGTCATGATCCCAGGAAAAAAATGAAATCACTGAAAAGTATCCCAAAGACTCCAGGAATTTCGGGAAGCTTACCTAAGAAGAGCTAAGTATTCCAAATCCTACCAGAACTTTATAACTTGAGTTTTTAGTTTGGTTGTGGGTACTCCCATGCAAGGAAGGAGAGATGCTAATATTGACTGATATCCATTTAATATGTGAAAAGCACATTCATAGAGAATGTTTACACAGTCTAAACCAAAAATATAACCAAGCCAATGATTTCAGACCAGATCACTCAGTCATTACTTAGCTTCCTTTCTTCAGTGAGTCAAATCATTGACATGAGCTTTCTTTGCCACTTTTCAAACGCAAATCATCTATTATCATGAAAACCTGGCTACTTCCAGAGTTTCTGATAGACCAAAGAATAATGAGACATTCATTCCTTGAGTTAAAAAAAGAAAGGAATTCTTAATCTCAGGAAACAAACTGAGGGTTGCTGGAGTGGTGGGGGGTGGGAGGGATGGGGTGGCTGGGTGATAGACACTGGGGAGAGTATGTGCTATGGTGAGCGCTGTGAATTGTGTAGGACTGTTGAATCACAGACCTGTACCTCTGAAATGAATAATACATTATATGTTAAAAAAAAAAAAAAAAAGATAGTAGGAAGGGAGAAATGAAGGGTGGGAAATCGGAGGGGGAGACGAACCATGAGAGACTATGGACTCTGAGAAACAAACTGAGGGTTCTAGAGAGGAGGGGAGTGGGGGGATGGGTTAGCCTGGTGATGGCTATTAAAGAGGGCACGTACTGAATGGAGCACTGGGTGTTGTTACACTCAAACAATGAATCATGGAACACTACATCAAAAACTAATGATGTAATGTATGGTGATTAACATAACATAATAAAAAAAAATAAAAAAGAAAGGCTGTCAAAATCCTCCTGATTTTAGGCACTTATGAAAAATACACTTGGGGCGCCTGGATGGCTCAGTTGGTAAACGTCTGCCTTTGGCTCAGGTCATGATCCCAGGGTCCTGGGATAGAGCCCCGCATCGGGCTCCCTGCTCAGTAGGAAGCCTGCTTCTCCCTCTCCCACTCCCCCTGTTTGTGTTCCCTCTCTTGCTGTGTCTCTCTCTGTCAAATAAATAAATAAGTCTTTTAAAAAAAAGAAAAATACGCTTATAAAAAAAAATATATGTACTAAAAACATATTCCTCTTACCTCAAAAATATATACCATGCATTATGGAGATCATTGTGGAACAAGTAAATATCAAGGCTCTTTTTCCAAGTTCAATGTCTGTCTAAGAAATGGAAAATAGTAACACTTGATTTTAAGGAAAATAGAACAGTACATGTGTTTCTATTGGCATCTATGAAATAGGAATAAGAGTAAACACTCACAAAAGTTGTTTAAGGATTAAATTAATAGTAGATGTAAAATGTTTAGTGCAATAGTTGGTGCATAGTTAATATTCAGTAAGTGTCAGCAATTAGTAGTAGTAGTAATGTCATTATTATTTATAACATGGTAATTCCTCCACATACACCCTACCCCACCATCAAACCAAACTCTTGTGATTCGCCACACTGTTTCATGACCCCACACCTTGCACATGCTGAGCTCTCTTTTTGAATATCCTTTCCCTGCTTTCCCTGGTGAACTCTTACCCATCACCCCCAAAGTTCAGCCCTGAAGCTTCCTCCTCCTACATGTCTTCCCTAATGCCTTTGCCTGTCTTGGCTGCACTTAACTGTTTCCCAGGGTATCCTGCATAACTGCCTCTCCTAGCAACTGAGAATGTGACTTTTTTTTACTTGATCCCCCTCACTTCCAACACACACACACACACACACACACACACACACACTCTTCCAACACACACACGCGTGCGCCTCACACTTCATTTTTTTTCCCTGTAGAAATGTCAGTTGTAATGAATGAATCCACTCCTGTATAAAAAGATAAAGTTTTTTTTCCTTCATGAGTAGGAATCAGGCTAGAATATGTACTTGGTAGCCTTAGTTGTGAGGGGGAAATTGGGTGAGGGTGGGAAAAGCTGGAGGATGCAACTTGGCAGCCCTGGGACCTGGCTCTGCCACAAGCCTAACCCTGTGGTCTCCAATGAGTCATTTAACTTCTCTGGACTCAGTTTCCTTCTCAACAAAATGAGAGGGTTGTACAAAATATTCTCTGAGGATCCAGCCAGTGCCAACATGTATATGATGCTGAACATTGCTTCATCTCAGTGGTTCTCTAACTTCTGCAGACATCAGAATCATCAGCAGGGCTTGTTAAAACACTGATTCCTGGTCAGCAGGTCTGAGATGGGGACCAACTATTTACATGTTAACAAGTTCCCAGGTGATGCTGAAACGATACATTCGGAGAACCACTGACTAATCTTAACACAGGATTCTGACCTTGTCCAGTAGTCACCTGGCCAAGAGCACTCCTGATATGCAAATTCACAAGGGATGGAGGCACCGAAACCCAGGCTTCTGTGAGGCTACCATCAGGAGGACTGGGAGCCTGTGGGTAGGTCCCAAGAGCGGCCACAGAAGGCAAACTTTGCTGAACAAAACAGTTCTGTTAAAGGCCTACCTTGTGGGGAAGAGGCAACCTGAGTTCGCAATGCTGTGAGGCACAGAAAATAGATTCCCAGGTTTGACCCATTTGCTAAAACCACTGCCGCTGAAGTTACAACGCATTACTGGTGCCATCTAGCGATGGCTCTGAATTACTGCATCTAGAGACGACAATGAAGTGCTTTCTTTTGGACACGGCTTCTTTTTTTTACAGAACTATGTTCAAGATGAGAACCTTTAAGAATAAGCTCTAATGTACTCTGGTACTGTCCACATTTGTATCTAGGTACTATAAAAATAAATATGCGTATATCACTTACTATGTACTAGGCACTGCTCTAATACTTTATATATGTTCAGTTATGCAGAGCAACCCAATGAGACAGATACAAGTATTATCCACATTTTCCCAGAAAGGAAATATAATCTCAAGATACAAAAAAATGTAAGGACCTTGCCTGAGGCTGCCCAAACAGTAAAGCCTTACAGCTGGACTTGAACCTAGACAGCTCCCGGAGAGAGATTACTCTGGCCAGCCTTTCTTATACTGGCAATTTAAAACAGTTACCAAAACAACTGTTACTTGTAAATAGTTATGAGGTCCCAGGTCAATGTCTGAAAAAACTCATAAAATACATACTGAAGCAATGAGTTTTTTTCTGATTCTTCCTAATGAAATCAATTCATGTGGATAAAGACATGCTTCTACCTACACAAAAAGCGCAACAACTTGGAATCAACTTCCAACTTATCATGCAGCCTTGGACAACTCGATTAACCTCTCTGGGCTCCACTTTCTATAAAGTAGGGAAAAAATTAAAATGTAATTTACATTGTTTGGGAGTTCTTTCAAACCAGATTGAATTGTAGAGTTCGAGTTATCCAGTTATGTGATCACAAGAGCAAATACAGAGAGGATGGGCAGTGACTGTATAGGGTTTTCTTAAATGGTCCAACGGGTGGGAAATATGCCAGGACAGAAGACTCGATATTCTGGTCTCTTGTCCAGAAGCGCAGTAAATAATAACACTCATGGCATTTGCAGTGAAGTGAAGAGCTCACCCAGGGAGATGTACGTTTCTCTTGTCTTCCTGGATGCTGCCCTTGGCCTGTGCACCTGAACCCTGCACTCCTGCCTGTTTCGGCCTCCCAAGAGTCCTCACCAAAGGGCTCTTGCAGAAAACTCACATCTTTGCTGGTGGACTCAAGTTCAACCCCCCTCACTTCAGACTCTTTTATCAGAGATTTGCTTGGATTTAAACCTGGTCCTTGCTAATTCTTTTAGCTTCTTATCTAAGACTTGTGTTACTAAACTATTTCTTACCTCAATAACCCAAACACTACAGAATGGTTACCAAAACAAAGCACTAGTGGTTTCTTTTTATTGTGTACTTATAATATGTTAAGATCTGCTGATATAAAGATTCTTGATAATGAAGGAAAATAAACACGTAGACAGAGCTATAGAAATAAAGGGTAATAAAACATAGTAGAGTAAAATATCACTATCTCGCTTACTAGATTTTTTATGTCATTCCAAGTATTTGCACAGCAAACTCAGAATTAAGCTAGATAAAGTTTATTATCAACCTTATTTGAGAAATTAAGGAAATTGAAGCACAGAAATTTTAAACAGCTTCAAAAAAATAAGTGAATCATTGAAGGTCCATATATCTCAATTTTTTGGTCTCTGCTGGCCCCACAATTATAGTTTCTTTCAACAATACAATCTTGATACAGGATGACTACCTCCTGATACTTTGAATTAGAAAGAAGTTCCTTGTACAAATATGGTAGAAGTAAAAGATTAATTAGACCTTAAGCATAGTAAAAAGTATTAATTCGCTTCATCCCAGCTGAGGAGCGAAGAACGTTCAGCTATAAAAATGGGCAGAAATTTCCTCGATCGTATCAGTGGTACTGGTCTGTTCTCTTGTGCAAACTGCGATACACTCCTGACCAACCGCTCAGAGCTCATCTCCACTCGGTTCACAGAAGCCACTGGCAGAGCATTTCTTTTTCACAAGGTAGTTAACCTGCAGTACAGTGAAGTTCAACACTGGGTCATGCTCACTGGCCACCACATGGTTCGAGATGTGAGCTGCAAGAACCGCAGTAGCAAACTGGGATGGATCTATGAGCTCGCCACTGAAGACAGCCAGCGCTCTAAGGAAGGCCGTGTGATCCTGGAACGCGCTCTAGTACGAGAGAGTGAGGGCTTCGAGGAGCACGTACTATCTGATAACTCTTGAAGAGAAAGAGATAACTCCATCTTTTCCCAGGTCTCCTTCACAGAAAACAAAAATCTACTTACATACACTGTCACCTTAGCATCAGGGTCAGATTCATGAACTGCGGAACAAGAGGTTGTGAGAATCTAAGAGGGAACCTTTTTTTCTTCTTTCTTTCTTTCTTTCTTTCTTTCTTTCTTTCTTTCTTTCTTTCCTTTCTTTCTTTCTTTCTTTCTTTCTTTCTTTCTTTCTTTCTTTCTTCTTTTTAATTTTCAATTTTCCAGTGTGTAGAGAGAATATTATGCAGATGCCGTTAATTTTTTTTCCCCTATGTTTACATCTTGAAGCGGAATAGTCTATCTGCAGCTACATGATGGGCTATGTGAGGAAAAAAAATCTGGGCTGTTAGAGTGGAAAAGTGTGTTTTATGTAAATTTTGAAAGGAAAATGTGTCAAGACCATGGTTTTTAAACTTATTTGTGCTTCCTTTAAGAAAAATGTTTTTTAAACCCAGTTATTTGACTTGATTCGCTAGCTTCAGGGAAGAGACCCGACTCTGTGACCAGCGCTAAGGTTCCGTGTTGGTATGGCTTGTGCCGGCCACTGTGCCGTATTCCTTCTGGAGAATTGTCAGCACCAGAGCCCTCCTTCCTTGTCAGTCTTGACCCAAAGATGTCACCATTCCTGGTTATTTGTCACATAATTGGTGTTGATTGCAAACTTTCCTGAAATGGGGCAGAACTGCTTGGTTGTCTTTTCCATGTAACTTAAACATAGTAATATAAATAAAGTAATAGTTGGGGGGGGAAAGTATTAATTCACTGAACAAACATGTGTTGAAAATCTACTATGCACCTGGCACCATTTTAAGTTTAGGGGATTTAGCAGTGAATGAGGTCAGAAATGACATTCCAGCTTCAGAGCTAACAATTCCATCTAGTTGAAGAGAACACAATAAACGAGAAAAAAATAAATATGTAATACTGTGTCTGGTAATGAAGAAAAACCATTACCATAGGAGTAGAGAGCACTGCTTTAAATCGAATGATGCAGGCAGACCTCTCTGAGATGACATTTGATCAGAGGTCTGAAGGAGGCCAGTTGTGCAGAGATCTGAAAGGGAGCTCAGGCAGAGAGAGAAGCAAGTGCAAAGTCCCAGGGTTGGGAGCCAGCTGGGCTGGTTCCAGAATAGCAAGGAGACCACCGACCAGAGCACTGACAAGATGGGGTCCGGGAAGAGGGCAGGGCCATAGTATGCATGCCTTGCGGGCTGTGGAGGCAACTTAGAGTTCACAGAAATCCAGTAGGGAGGCATGGGATGGTTTTGACAGGGTCTGGTCTACATCATGAATTCATCATTCTGATTTCTCTGGGCAGATTAGACCGGAGCAAGAGTGGAGGCAGGGACTCCAGTGAGGAGGTTATAACAATGGTCCAGGCAGAACAGGATAGCACCTAGGCAGTAGTGGCTCAGGATGCCTCCTTATGGAGAGGTCCTAAAACTCGCTGATGCACTGGCTGTGTGAGAAAGGGACATCTCAGGAACATCTCCTAGGTATCTAAAATTGTCCAGGGGCGCCTGGGTGGCTCAGTTGGTTAAGCGACTGCCTTCGGCTCAGGTCATGATCCTGGAGTCCCTGGATCGAGTCCCGCATCGGGCTCCCTGCTAGGCAGGGAGCCTGCTTCTCCCTCTGACCTTGCCCCCTCTCATGTGCTCTCTCTCTCATTCTCTCTCTCAAATAAAAAAAAAAAAACTTTAAAAAAATAAAATTAAATTAAATTAAAAAATGTTTAAAAAAATAAATAAATAAAATAAAAAATAAAATAAATAAAATAAAATAAAATAGTCCAACTCATAGAAGCAGAAATAGAATGGTGGTTGCCAGGGATCGGGGGGAAGAGGAAATGGAAAGCTGCTACCAGATGTGTATAAAGTGTCAGTTGTTCAAGATGAGTAAGTTCTAGAGATCTGTTGGATCACATTGTGCTTATTGTTAACCATATTGTACTATACCTTTAAAAATTTATTAAGAAGGTAGATCCCATGTTATCTGTTCTTACTACAATAAAGAAGAAGGAGAAAAAGAAGAAGAAAGAAGAAAGAAAGAGAGAGAGAAAGAAAGAGAGAGAGAGAGAGAGAAAGAAAGAAAGAAAGAAAGAAAGAAAGAAAGAAAGAAAGAAAGAAAGAAAGAAAAAAGTGATGCTGCTGTCCAAATAACATCAGACTATAAAAACTGCAATAACTCTGAGAAACAATTTTTTAGGGAAATAAAATCAGTTTTTCAACATTATCTTTTGTGAATCATACAATGTCATTTAATCATAGCTTACCTCAAAACTTAAATTTGGAATGTTATTATGCATTTATCAAAATAAATATAAATTTGAAAAAGGGCTACATAAACTCTCAGAATTTTTTATTGGAAAAAAAAAAGAATGTCTCTTAAACTTTGAGCTTGAGCAACTAGATAAGTAGTAATATCATTTTCCAAAACAGGGAAGCTTGAGGTACAATAAGCTTTCCAAAACTTGTAGCCCTCTCACCCTCTAATTGTATTAGTTAATCTGATTTCAGAATTTTAAATTCAAGAATCTTTAAGCTACATTGCCACTTTTTAAAGAATGAGCCATGTACAGCCACCGTGACACCTGGCTACCAATAGAATCCCACTCTGCGAGAGAATTCTGAACCAGACACTCAGCTGGAGCCGGTGTGATGCTTCTAAGTGTTCTTTTGTAAAATAGTTTCAAAGACCCGTGACTAGAGAATTATAAAATCGTGTCCTCTGTTTCCGACATGTTTATAAATATGAATAATGGAAGCAGAGCTCTCCAGGCTCTTAAGAAGTACAAGGTACAAATCCACGGTTCAGTTAAAAGGAATGTTAAATATCGGCCTGAGATTTATACTCTTGAGAAAGAAATGTTACAGTGGAATCAGGGAAGCAATGTGCTGGGTTTGTGAGTCAGCAGCTCTTTTGTGGGAGGCACCGTCTTGAACTGGGTCAGGCAGCTATGTGGTACTGAGATGGGCCTCAAAGGTTTGGGGACATTGCCATCATATCACCCATGCCTGATTGATAAGAGCAAGAAAACACTTTTGGAGTACAAAGACTTAGTCAAAATCACCAGTAAATCTGGGATAGAGCCAAAATTTAGTAAACGGTAGTTGGTAAATGGACACAGAAATTACTGGATTCATATGCAGAGAAAATCAAAGGCACAGCGAATTCCAAGGAAATTGGGACTGCAGTTCCTTTGCCAGGTCCCCACTTATACAGAGAAGGGCTCCTTTCAGCATGTTCACCTGTCTCATGGATACTAACTAGCTATGATCATTTTTGTAGAAGAAAAAGAAATGAAATTTAGTGGTGTATAAACTGTATAAAGACAAGGGCCTTTCCGTCTTCTTTAGTGTTGTGTCCCCAGCAATTAGAACTGTCCTTGGCACACACTGGGCCCTGAGCAAATCTTCGCTGAATGAATAAAAACATAAAAGCTGGAATAAATGATTAAATCTAAGGAAGGCAAGGAATCTTTTTATTTGTGTAAAAAAAGAAAGCCATGTTTTCAGGTGAAACCTAATCAAAATGACAAGAGAAAAGTGTCTGAGGGAGCAGTACTGGGCTAATATACTCTTTCCCTCTGGTGTCACAGCTGAGTTCTCATTGCCCTGCATATTTATATCATTCACTGATATTGACTGAGCCTTAGTGGAGCTTTATCTTTCACTGGTTTTTATGTGGTCTACATTTCCCACCCATTCTCCATACTCTTTGGTGAGGGGGATTACCAATCTGAAGAATTAAACAAGAAAACTGAATAATTGACAGGCTGCAGTCCTTGAACTTTTTTTTTTTCTGTGTGTGTGTGGTTTTTTTTTTCCCCTACCCTCTCAACTTCAAGATTCTCAGATCCGTGTCTGATTCAAATTTGCCTTAAGTTTACATCAGTTTATTCACCCTTACCACTTATGACCTCATCCTCAGGGGCAGCATTTTTCCATTTTCATCATTCTATCTGGCCATAGCTGTTGAGTAGCTATGGATGGAAACGAGTAAAGGAAGAAAAATAAGAACTTAAAAAGGAATGAAATGGAATACATCCGTTCCCAGACCAAGGCCTCTTCAGGAAAATATTGGAAGCCTCACTTACAGCTAAGTTGGCCTGGGATCCAATCTGGATATAAGAGGCTGTTAGCACTCAGCCTTGAGTAGATGAGCATGAATCTGTCCTTATATCAAATATTCTTTGAGATCTTTGCATCTAAGACCTTTTAGAAATGTATATAAGTCATTCTAAAGTAAGAAAATGAACTGGATACATTCTAGTAGAAAGCCAAGGAGAGATAATAAAATAAATCTTTCCCATCTCCCTTTTTGATGACATTACACTTTAAAAATAGGTACAGGGAGGAGCCCACGGGAGGAATTTCAGTTAGGCAAATTTACTTACAAGTAGAATTTCTTCCAGGATACAAGAGCCTTTGGCAAACATTCTTTGGCACATTCTTCTTAAAAGGTATAAGCCATTTTTTTGGCAGGTTTTAAATGACACTTAAGAGTGTCAGGCAAACCTTCCAAACCATAGCCGAAAAGCAGCTTTATCCAAAACACACAACATCCTCAGCCAGCTCAAGATCAACAAAAAAGTTAGGCCTAACCATTACAGAATGTTAACTGTGAAACATAATTCCATGATATTTATGGCTCCATAAACTGGGCAAAGCTACACTTGAGTACTAAGAGGTACTCCTTGCAATGGGACAGTTACTCATACTTGATCCTATAAGATATGCTATATTAAAGAGAACCACGAATTAGTCACAGTCTATGCATTAGGACATGATTTTCTACTTTTAATGAGCCTAAGAATCAACTGGAGCAAGCTTGTAGAAAATGTGGATTTCTGGTCCAGTCCCTACACCTATCTAGGTAGATTCTGTAGGGGAAAGGACTGGAAAAAAGGAAGACCAGTGAGGAAGAGGCAGATGGTCTGTAAACCAGACATTGAGAATCACTGCACCAGAGTTTGAAGTGAACACACTAAAGTTGGGACAGTCTCCATGCAACTCTTAATTCCTCGCACCTAGCCCTAACACTGGCACCTGGAGGACACTCAGTGAATGTTTAATGAATGAAAAGCAGTTAGCATTTATGGATGCCAGGCACTCTTCTAAGCATTCTACACATATTAACTAATTTAATCCTCACAATAAGGGACTATTATTAGCCTTGACACTTGCTAGGCACTCTGTCTGCACACTGTCCAGTGTCACATGGCTGGTTCCTTTGTTACATTCAACTGCCACCTCCTCAGAAGACCCTCCCCTTGCCCCCAACTACCTATCTAAAGTTGCATCAATCCCACTCCCATCCAATCACAGGATCCTGTTCCTTTTCTCTACAGCCCTTGCCTCTATCTAAAATTATCTGGTTGGCTTATTGTCTGAATAATAAGCCCTCCACTGAAATGCAAGCACCATGAAAACAAGAATCGTGCAGGTCTTATTTGTCACTCTATCTCTAATGCCTAATTCATGGTAGACACCAAAGAAATGATATAATAAATGCAAAACAAAGGAATGGTGCTTGTCATATAATTCCTTAGTTCTCTCAGAGCTTCCAAATTTTATTATAAGTGTAAAAAGCAAAAGAAAGACTTCTAACCCCCAAATGTCCTCAAAATAATTCTCCAATCTCCCTTGTCCCAAGTCATAGCATGAACATGAGGAAAAGTAAAACCTAAGTAAGTGAAAGTGGAAGGTTTGGATAGATTTCTCACTGTATGGCTTCAATATTTTGTTTGAAAAGAACTCTTAGGACATCAGGGGCCCCCATGGTCAAACATAAGTAGAAAATACATTCTAAGATCAATTTAGATTAACCTGTTTTTATTAACCACACATTGACTCTGATTTCCTAGTTCGGAAAGCGATATCTGCCTGACACCAAAAGACCTAGTTAAATCAGTGAAATTCCAGCCAATTACCTCAATAGTAAAAAGAATGGATATACCAATTCCCTCCAAATGGCAAATGTGTCAGAATCATTGATTTAACCCTGCACCAACAAAATCAAAATCAGGAACTACTGTAGACTAAGGAGAAAGGAAGAAAGTCATTTTAAATGGGTTTCTCATACAGTATGACTCAAAACCATAGTTCCTTTGAAAGGAGTCACCTGCTAGTTGACCTCATATCAATGCTAGCCAAGCCTGTGCATGATTCTGATCATGGATGATCAAAATGATCTCCTCTTCATGTATGGTGTGGGTCTCAGGCAAATAAGAGCTAGGGCTGAGGGATTGCTGCTGAATGAAGCTTTTTGTTCCAAGTAATTTTTACCACTTCTACTAAAATGCCAGAGAATGAATGGTGTCGGTAATGTTGTTGGATAAAACATACTCAAAAGCAACTAGAAACTTTAAAAAAAAAATAGTTTTCCTTTTTTTTTTTTAAATTTTGGGAATATTTTTTCATTATGATCACGCAGGGAGTTAGCTAGACCTGGATTGGTTTCATTAGTCATCTCAGAAAATGTGGTTAGGTCTTGGGAAAATCTTTCGATTTCTGAGGAATTGCTGATCCCAAATCACATTCATTTCAGTCAGTCACTGGGACTTAGTATGAAACTTGGAAGTACCAAAGTAGACGCAGGAAGGGGGTGGAGGAAGCAATCGGACCAAGAGTGAGGTCTATTCTTACTACAGGAAGGTGAAGATCCTTTACAAAGACTTCACCTAACACAAATTTTGCAGCTGCTACCCTCTCCCCCATAATCGAGAAAGACTTAATCAGAATATTTTAAGAGGTAGAGAGAAATTTATTTTCATTCTAAAAATGTCCAAGTGCAACGATAAAGCAAAGATAATTTCTATGTTCACTACCCAAGCCCTCAAAACCATCTGGGTTAACTCAAAGCCAGGTTTAGCACGTTTTGCTTTCCATTTTGTGAGCAAAACATGATTTGGTTTACAAATTTCTCTGAGGTTCATGCATATAGCTGAGAGATGCTGTCATTTCCTTATCAGAAGCAATAGGAGAAATTCCAAATATGAGGAGTCACAGAGATTTATTGCCTCAATTCCCAGCCTGACACTTGGCTCAGCACAAAGGGTAAGCAGCCAAAAAGAAGTCCTTTGCTAAGGTACAAAAGGAACTGGCTGCTTGTGAAGTCCAGACTTGGGAGTGACACAAAAGGGGGTTGGGGTTTTTACACAGCCAGCAAAACCTAGTCTGTTTGAAGTGGGATCAATTGATTTCTTGAACATTTCAAATAAGCAAAATTCTGCAGGAAATGGAAGCCAGATGAATTTTTAACTCAGGAGATCCTTGGAAGACAGGCAGAAAGTAATCAAACAGCATCCTCTCGTTTCATTTTGGCCCTCCTCCTAGACTTCCTCCCCGCACTATACGTCCTACATGATGTAGAGACAATGAATGAATAAGCTTGGGGAGGGGTATGAGTAGACATTTACTTTCTAGATCATTTAAATTTACTTAAATAATAATTTTAAATTGATTCACATGTTGATTTTATTAAATTAAAAAAAGGAACAGTATGTGTTCGATATAAATGTATACCAATTTTAAAACACTATGCTATTTGGAAGAGGATCTGAAACATTTTAGGAAGCATCTGTTGGTGAAGCAGTCACGTGCTGGCAACTCTCACAATAACCCCCCATGAGCTTGTTAGCGTCATGGTGCACACAAAGAAACTGAGGCTCACTGAGATAAAGTGATTTGCCAGAGGCCACGATGATTATAAACTGAGAGGCTGAGATGGACTTACCAAAGGAGTCCCCAGCTGATCCTCAGGACTGAAATCCACATGCAAAGAATCTGATTTTTGAGACTAGGTTTCTTCTACACTAGCAATTGCTAGTTCCCACCTCCTAGGGCATGGGACAGGAATAAATCGGCCACTGGTTTTGAAGCTGGAATTACCAGGTCAGGAGAAGTTGGCAGCTGTGTGCATGCCAGGAACACCACCATGCCAAGTAGGCACACGCAACTCTCCCCCAGGAACTCGAAGGGGAGAAGGAAGGGGTACTTTCCTCTCTCCAACAAGCTTTGGCTTCAGACACTTAGAGAAAATATAAGAAACATGAAAAGAAGAAAACATACTCACCCTGCCACGCCTAGCTGCTACCTTGTTAACACCTTGTTCTTCGTAGTTGTGACTTTCACAGAAGATGAAATATTTCTTTCCTCTTAACTTCACATATGCTGTCCAGAAGCCCCCAGGTTTCCTGGAACTTTTGTTAAGATTCCAGCTATTCCAGCAATAATTTTCAGACACCAAGCTTTGGCTGACAGAGAACAGATACAACCAATGTCTGGGGATTTTCCTTCTGCTTTCTTCTACTTTTTCTTCCAATGAAACTGTCCTATTATTGGCTTTGATTTATTCATTATGGTCATACTTTCCTTTCCAGAAATCTTATTTGCAAGACAAAGAAAGAATAAAAATAGTAATGGATGGTCATCCGTGGTATTTTGTTAGTTCTTCTCGGCTCTTGCTTTTGAACTGTCTGCTGTGTCTTGGCCCCTTCTGTGTCAGTAAAGAAAATCATGGACATGGGACTTTTTAATGTTATCTATGTTAATCAGGTCCACCCCTAATATTTGTGATGCTTTGGGCAAAAGTACAAATGGTGACCCACATACTATAGATTTAAATCTTTAAAAGTTATGAATCAAGCCAACTGTTTAAATAGTTTATGTTCTATCCCTCCGCCTTGGCAAATATACATTTGTAACAACATGAAAGGCCATGTTCAAATTTAGAATTCTCTGACTCCTTGAATTGCTACACCAGAATGCAGAGGCTGAGAGAGATCAGCCTACCCCTGGTTCATTTGTTCCCAACTCCAGCTTGGTCATAGACTATGAACCATAGACCATGCAGGTTTCACAACCACGCAAGTGAACAATCCCTAACAAACAGCTACTCCCCAGCCTAATGTTGGACCCAGAGGTCGCACACCACAAGAAGACAGTTCATCTCTGGAGGGTGGACCCTGAGAAAAAGCCTCTGTAGTCACTGGAAAGAGCTCAAGATCCTTTGGGTAGAGAATTCTAAGGTCTTGCATATCCAGAGCAGGGTCTAGAAGAGTGTGGGCTCTGGACAGCACAATCCCTTGGCTCCTCACTCGTGGCAGTTGGAGGAGGCACAGTTTCAGGAAGGTCAGGGCAGAGGCTCTTGTTGACCCTATCTGGGTGGTACTCGGAGTTAATGTCCCCCTGTTCTAATGGCAAGTGGAAATTAACCTTATTGACTAGACACTTTTCATCCATAGCTTCCAAGTAAGAGTGAAAGGCCTCTCAGAAGATTTAGAACTAGAAGTTTATGATCCATATTTCACATAAGGCAAGGTATCTGTACCTCAGTATCACCAAGGATTATGCAATTTGCTCTTTGAATTGCAAGTGCAGCCATCTGATTAACTGCTCCAGTTTCCATGGTCCAAGGCCAACGAAGAAACAGAATCTGTTAAATATTTGAAAGGCGACATCATTAAGAATGAATTATTATCTAACATGGAAATAATTTCAATTAAGAGGAGGGACTACACACATATATTTCGTTGTCATACATTTCTTTAGAAGATGAAACAAGGAGGAATCAGAGAAATGTACTCTGGGAGATGAGAGGGAGGGAAGGATGGGTTCCTTGGGTTTATATTTCTTCCAAGTGAGGTAGGCTGTGCTTCTCCCCACCCATCTAATCCCCTGAACCTGCTCCTACCTCTATCAGTGAGGATAGCAACAATACTTAGCTAATATTTACATCCCACTTACTCTGTGCCGGACATCATTCTAAGCACCTTACCTGTTTTACCTATTTAATTTGCACAAAAGCCCTATGATATAGGTATTTTTATTACTCTTCTCACTTTTAGAAGAGGAAATTGAGGCATAAGAAGATTTTTTTAAAAAAACAAACCTTGCCTAAGGTCCTGTAGGAGGTTCAGAGCTGAGATTTGAACACAAGAGGACCCCTAGAGTCTGTGCACTCAGCCACATGTTCTACTACTTCTTGAGATGGTCAACCACACATGCACTGGCCACCTCAGCCACTAGTCACCCTCCACTCTGCCCTGCTTCTCCAAATAAATGTGCATTTGCCCCTAGTAGCCGGAGGTTTGACCTGGAAGATCAGTTATCTCTTTGGCTCACCTGGAAATTCCCATTTCCTGTGGGATAAGGACAGCTTCCCTCTTCTAAGGCCCAATGGCCCTCACCCACCAGGGGCCACAGAAACCATAACAGTCCCCAGTTCTCTCAACATCTAACTGGACTTTTTTTTTAAGATTTTATTTTTTTAGAGGGGGGTGGTGGGGAGGGGAAGGGAGAGAGAAACCCAAGCAAACTCCACACTGAGTACAGAGCTTGACGGGGAGCTCCATCTCACAACACTGAGATCACAACCTGAGCAGAAACCAAGAGTCAGATGCTTAACCAACTGCACCCAAGTACCCCCTAACTGGACTTTTCTAATAGGAACTTTGTATATGAGAATTTACTTATTCTCTTGTCTTTAAGGTCCCCAAAAGATTAGGGGTTGTGTCTTATTTTTCTTTATTTCCTGTTCTTATTAGAGTTCTTTATATGCAAGAAGTGTTCAGAAATGTTTACATAAATGAGGTTTATTGTATTCTTCAATAACCCTGAATTTTAATCTGGTAAGTCAATGACTATAAAGAGCAGAAAAATTCCAAATTCAGGGAGGCTGGGTGACTCAGTCGGTTTAGCACCCAACTCTTGATTTTGGCTCAGGTCATGATCTTAGGGTAGTGGGATGAAGCCCCATGTCAGGCTCTATGCTGGGCGCAGAGCCTGTTTAAGATTCTCTTTCTCCATCTCTCTCACCCCTTCCCCCATCACCCTAAAAAAAAAAAAAAAAAAGTCCAAATTCAATCATTGCAGGTGGGCATATATATATATACACACACACATATATATGCATGCCAGAGTCTGTTCTATATTTGAAATTCCTGTTCAGAGAGGTGATATGGTATAGTAGTTAAGTGCCTAGACCCTGGAGGCAACCTCCCTGAGTTCAAATTCCAGTCTTGCTACTTACTGACTATGGGACTGGTGATATGCAATTTAAACTCAACGAGTGTCAATTTCTTCACAGGTAAATAGGAATGATTATGATAACAGTCTCCATTTCAGGGGGATTTTTCTGAAGATTATATAAGTCAACACAAGGTGATTAAATGAATTAATCAATATAACGTGCTTTCAGTACTGCTTGGCAAATAGGAAGTCCTCCATGAATGCTAGCTGTCATACCAAGCCATCCCACAACTTAAACACAAAAATGGTATCTTTTAGCATGTAAAATAGTTGTATTTTTAAGGGATTACTAAAGTAGTTAACCATATTTTCTCTTTATGGTTATTAGAGAACGGTTATTATTAACAATAGTTAACAGGATACAACCAGGAATAACAGAATATAATACCTGCTGCATTACCCACCAAGTGTAGGCATTGTAATAAGTTATGTTATGAAAATATGGCTCACAGAGACATGGTCTTGGCTATCACAGAATCAGCTGATTCCCTATCCTCTCTCTTCTGAGCAGGCTTCACCTTCCTGAGATTATAAGAAACAGGGATGGGGGCACCTAGGTGGCTCAGACAGTTAAGCATCTGCCTTAGGCTCAGGTCATGATCTCAGGGTCCTGGGATAGAGCCCCGCATCCTGCTCTGTGCTCAGCGGGAATCTGCTTCTCCCTCTCCCTCTGCCGCCCCCCTGCCCCCAGCTCATTCACGTGTGAGCTCTCTCGCTCTCTGTCAAATAAATAAAATCTTTAAAAAAAAGAAGAAGAAGAAGAAGAAGCAGTGACATCAATCTTAGCTGTAGTCAGCTACAATTGTTCCAACTCACACCAATGAACACCAAGGGGATAAACACCATTGCCAGACCAATGTCCCATCCATTCAGCAAGGGTATCTCATGGAACAGGAAATGCAATGGGAACCCACAAGCATGTACTTTTTTTGTTTACATTTTCCACAATGAAGCCAGATGGCATTACAGCAGGACAGCAATATCCAAGATGTTCCAAAGCATACACACCAGTTTAAATCCTTTTTTAGCCCAAATTCCTTCCCTCGTTATCTTAACCTTCGCTGTACAAATTCTTCCCAAACTCCTCCGGAGACTATTCTTCAAGGTGAAGCTTGGAGAATTTATTGTACTACACCTACTTATTGTTTACTTCGTTGGCATGTGGTTTTCTCATTATAATATCATTAGCATAAGTCAGGGGATTCTTCCTGGCAAGATAGACAGAGTAATGTTCAGTTGGTCCTTTAAATCCTTTTGGTCATATCCATGTTCTTGGGTTCCAGTCTAAGAATGTTAACATTTCATAGCTTCCTCCTATTTCTTTATATATTTCTCCATATAGTCTCATTGGCCTATTACTGGTTTTCCTAAATTATTAACATTTCATTTTATTTCTACTAGGTATCCTCAATACCTTTCTCTTCTCCAACACAACAGATTCCTCTTCTGATGCCTACTCAAAAGCATGAAGATTAAATTTTTCTTTCAGGAGAATATTCCAAACATCCTTCAATGCAAGCATTTATATATCAGATGCTAGTTCAGCAAACCCAGATCAGATTATTTCTTTTAAAGATGATTTTGTTTATGAATCAACCTAAGGTACCAGAATTTGTTGGTAGAAGATACATTAATATCCTATTGGTTCCTGGAACTATAGTCATAGTAAGAATGTAGAGCTACATAAAGTTTATTATAGTAGCTGCCCTTTACTGAGTTTCTGCTAGTTGTCAGGTAACTGTCAGATATTTGTTATCAAATAATATCCCAATAAAAATGATCATTCCCATTTTCTAAGCTAGGAAATGGAGGTTCCAAAGGGTACACACCTTGTAAATGGCAGAGCCAGGATCCAAATCTGGGTGGCCCAGACCCCTCAGCCCACAGACTGTCTCTACTTTGCAGGCTGCTTATCAGCACTTTTTCCCCAGTCACTGCAACACACTTGGGAAGGAAGAACTGAAAACCCAAAGAGCTCAACCCATCTGTGCATTCAAGGCTGGGAAGCAAAAGATCACTATAATTAACCTAGAAATGAAAACTAAACTTTTTATATTCCTGGTTCATTGTATAATCCTTCAACAATATTTCATTTTCCTCTAGTGTTTTTCTTAAGAAAGATAATAAATCTCAAGGGAAAATGTGATGCTATTAAAATTAATACCATAATAATTGGATTCAACTTTTGGAAACCAGTGCTACTAATGGTTAAAGATGATGTCCTCTAGGAGAGGAAAACCCTCTTACAGCATTGCATTGCACATTTGTGCAAAGCATTAACTGCTTTGGCTCTTTCAAATATTTTTGTGTGTATGCACTAGTTTAACAGTAAGCATAGTACCACGAAGCCCTTAAAGAGATGGTGTGTCCTCCAAGCCTAAAACAATCTATGATCCATCTTTTTCCTGTGTGTTTTATCCCATAGCTGAGAATGTGACACTGTGTATGATACAACCCCATTTCCCTTAGAAATGTTTTTCTCTGATGATTTGGAATCCTACCTATTTTGCTACAGTTTATTAATCCTGGAGTTGCTCAGACACAAGGTTTTCATTTAATATTTAACTTTGGCACGGAGACATAGTCAAGTTTCTCCAGCCCAAAACTTGGAAAAGAGCTAAGGAAAAGTAGCCAGGAGAACTCTACAACAATATTTTTTAAACCTTCATATGTCCAGATTTAAAAATACATACATTTATCTTTTCTTCAGGAACAGCAATAACTCTGAACCGACAAGATTTTTAATAATTCTCTTGGTAACAGCAGGTAGACACAACATGTTTTTTTGAAAAGGAAGGAAGGAAGGAAGGAAGGAACCTCAAATACCTCTCATTTACCCATGATGACCTGGCTCAGTCCTGGAGAGGATTAGGAGCATTCCTTTTATAAAGTCACATTTCATTAGGATGAATGTTTTGTTCCAACCCAGCTGTATTGCAGCCCATCATCACCATTTCAGCTGATTAGCAAAAAGTAGATTGACACATAATGCCTTCTGCCACTGGGCCTCTAAATCATGATGTGCGAAGTATGGAAGTACATGATCTTTCAAAAGCCAAAGAAGATGTCCCAAAATAAAGGAGTGAAAAGTAAAGATAATACTAATGATAACCATAAGATGTATTTCTCAGAATTAGTGAGCATGAGAAACCAACACTACAAGAATGATTTAATTTCTAGGACCTGTGAAAAGAATATTGTCGCATTCTCCTTTGGAATGTGATGTAAGGAGATTGTCCCAAACTATAAAATGCAGTGAATCTCATCAGCACATAACTAAAATTTGGTTGAGATTGGCACATAATTAATCTCATTTCAAATGAGATAAGCCATTACAAATAGTTGAAAAATTTTACTTTTTTCAAACTAAAAATTAAGTGATTGGTAACATGAAGATAAATTAA